TGTTCTTTAGTAAAAGTAAAAGTACTCAGATCTTGTACTTGAGTAAAAGTAGAAGTACTCAGATGTTGTACTTGAGTAAAAGTAGAAGTACTCAGATCTTGTACTTGAGTAAAAGTAGAAGTACTCAGATCTTGTTCTTGAGTAAAAGCAGAAGTACTCAGATCTTGTACTTGAGTAAAAGTAAAAGTACTCAGATCTTGTTCTTGAGTAAAAGTAGAAGTACTCAGGTCTTGTACTTGAGTAAAAGTAGAAGTACTCAGGTCTTGTTCTTGAGTAAAAGTAGAAGTACTCAGATCTTGTTCTTGAGTAAAAGTAGAAGTACTCAGGTCTTGTTCTTGAGTAAAAGTAGAAGTACTCAGATCTTGTACTTGAGTAAAAGTAGAAGTACTCAGATCATGTACTTGAGTGAAAGTAGAAGTACTCAGATCTTGTAGTAAAAGTAGAAGTACTCAGATAGTGTACTTGAGTAAAAGTAGACGTACTCAGGTATTGTTCTTAAGTAAAAGTAGAAGTACTCAGTTCTTGAGTAAAAGTAGAAGTACTCAGGTCTTGTTCTTGAGTAAAAGTAGAAGTACTCAGATATTGTTCTTGAGTAAAAGTAGAAGTACTCAGATATTGTAGTAAAAGTAGAAATACTCAGATAGTGTACTTGAGTAAAAGTAGAAGTACTCAGATCTTGTTCTTGAGTAAAAGTAGAAGTACTCAGATCTTGTACTTGAGTACAAGTAGAAGTACTCAGATATTATACTTGAGCAAAAGTAGAAGTACTCAGGTTGTCACGATCTGTCTTTATGGGGTTTTGTCTTGTCTTGTTTCATGTTTTATGTTGAAAGGTCTTCACCTCCTGTCTTGCCTGTTTCTGTCTGCGTTGTGTCTTGTTTAAATCTGTCTGTGGTTCCCGGTCGTTAGTTTCCCTGGTGTGTCTAATTTACCCGATTGTGTTCACCTGGTGTCCCTGTGTTTTCTCCTCCCTCCTCACCTGTGTCTTGTTTCTGTGATTAGTCTTGTGTGTATTTAAGTTCTGGTTTTTCTGTCTGTCTTTGTCGGTTCGTCTTTTGTCATGACTAGTTCGTCGGTGAGTGTTCTGTTCTGTCTGTGTTATCACCTAGCCTTGAAATAAAGGAACTTTCACTTTAATCTGCATTTGGGTCCTACCTGCTTCACACACCGTGACACAGGTCTTGTTCTTGAGTAGAAGTACTCAGATCTTGTTCTTGAGTAAAAGTAGAAGTACTCAGATCTTGTACTTGAGTAAAAGTAGAAGTACTCAGATCTTGTACTTGAGTAGAAAGTAGAAGTACTCAGATCTTGTACTTGAGTAAAAGTAGAAGTACTCAGATCTTGTACTTGAGTAAAAGTAGAAGTACTCAGATCTTGTACTTGAGTAGAAAGTAGAAGTACTCAGATCTTGTACTTGAGTAAAAGTAGAAGTACTCAGATCTTGTACTTGAGTAAAAGTAGAAGTACTCAGATCTTGTAGTAAAAGTAGAAGTACTCAGATCAGGTACACAACAACAACAAAGACTAAGCACACTACATAATCTCCATCACACAAGCAATTATAAAACAGGTTACATTTCAGGTCAATAAAATACATTATATATATTATATAATATAAAATACAGAGACATGTATTGTCTATATCATTTGTATCTGTATAAGTCCCTTTTGTGAGGGCAAAAAAGAAAACAACAATAAAAAGTTGGTCACAAAAAAAAACCCACAGAGACACACACACACACACACACACACACACACACACACACACAGTGAAGCATATGATATTAAACTGGGATGTTGACTTTAATTAAATGTCAACACATTTCACATAACAGTATTAGGTTAGTTAGATATAATATCAAGGTGAACCTATACATGATATTATTGTTGACATAATACACTGAATTAAAGTCAGTGTTTTCAGTGCATGATGAGGCATGTTGAGCCTCATCTATAATCCATGCTGCCGTTAATGCCGCGCTGCGTCTATATCGAGCCGTTCCTCCGGGGGAACGCTAAGTGAGAGGAGGAAGTGAAGAGAGGTGAAGACAAAACATGACACAGCTGTTCCTCTCACGGCTAAATAATACCATGTGGGAGAAAAGAAAGCACGCTCTGTACCGACAGCAGAGAGGGAGTACACACATCCTTTACTCAAGTAGAAGTACAGATACTCGTTTTTAAAAATACTCTGGTGAAAGTAGAAGTACTGACTAAACTTCTTTACTCAAGTAAAAGTAAAGAAGTATGGGCTTTGAAATGTACTTCAGTAAAAAGTACCCATAACTACCCAACCCAGTCTCACGGCATTTCGTGTTCACCAACACGATTTTCCCTTTTTTTTCGTGTTGCACAGAACGATTTTAAAAGCAATGTATTTCTACTGGTAATGTGTTTCGTGCCTGCAGCACGTCTTTTTCTCCGGTCGGGTCGTGGGAGACCGGAAGCTGTGTGGTTCATAAAAACATGTTCTTACTCAATATCAAGCCACGAATTATTGCTTTATTTTAAATCGTATAATTTCGAACTTTTGTTTCCGTCTGTGAGGAAAATAAATGGGGCTCAGAGCCTCAGGATACTGAAATCTGTATTTTTAAATCTTTCTTTCCTTCTAATTTGTTATTCTTTTCTAAATAACACACTGTTATTTACTCACCAATAACACACAATTATCCTTGCTTTTATTTATTGGTTTAATTCCATAATCTCGGGCTTTTTTGGCGTCCGTCAGGAACTGAATTTCAAATTAAAAATAACCGGAAACAGACGTAGGCATTTCGAGCGATTACCCAAGATCCTCAGCTATGGTTTAAGCTCGCTGATTGGATGCTTTAGCCGCAATGCATGCTTTAACCATTTTCGTATAAATGATTATCCACAGATGTGTGTAACTGCTGTGGAAGCAGTTCGGAAATGATGCACGCGCAGCGGAGCAGGTCACGCGCACCTGACACAATTTGTTGTTCGTATTTTTCGCTCCGTTCTCTTTTTTGAATAGAGGGTGCATAACATTCAACTGCCCGAAGATCCCGATGCGAAGCCTGAAGGGTAAACACACCAGGTTTACTAATCTACCCGCACAATTTGTCTGGTGTCGGAATGTCTCGCTATGTTAGCACATTCTTAAAAAACAAAACACCATTTAATTTCGGGTTGAAATGTGTTGTAAGCGTTACTGGGCATTGTAACGGGTAATATATTACCCCATTCATTAGTAATGCGTTACATTACTTCGTTACAGCACAAAGTAATATATTACTGTGACTCCGTTACTTTTGTAACGCGTTACACCCAACACTGATTGTGTGACTCTCACGCTCAATGCGTGAGTGTTGGCAGCCCTGGTCTCGTTAGAGGTTAAAGACGAGTCTCTAGATAATCTGAAGCAGGTATAACAACAGCAAACTCATCCTGGTTATTCCAAGCACTGACTCAGAGGCAATATGTATGACGGACTTCCTGTCTCTCTGTGTTGGACAGAGTCTACTATTTGAGACGTGGTCAAAATGTGCACTGTACTGCGGGAATGGGCAACATGCACACTGCTGTATTTGTGTTTCATACTGTATGTATTTCAATGTTGCGATGTTGTTTAAGAAAAAGGTGAATTTGTGTGTGTGTTGTGTCTCGTGTTGTGTGTGTGTGTGTGTGTTGTGTCTCGTGTTGTGTGTGTGTGTGTCTCGTGTTGTGTGTGTGTTGTGTGTGTGTTGTGTCTCGTGTTGTGTGTGTGTTGTGTGTGTGTTGTGTCTCGTGTTGTGTGTGTGTTGTGTGTGTGTTGTGTGTGTGTTGTGTCTCGTGTTGTGTGTGTGTTGTGTGTGTGTTGTGTGTGTGTTGTGTGTGTTGTGTCTCGTGTTGTGTGTGTGTGTGTGTGTGTGTGTTGGTGTGTTGTTGTGTGTGTGTTGTGTCTCGTGTTGTGTGTGTGTTGTGTGTGTGTTGTGTCTCGTGTTGTGTGTGTGTTGTGTGTGTGTTGTGTGTGTGTTGTGTGTGTGTTGTGTGTGTGTTGTGTCTCGTGTGTGTGTGTGTTGTGTCTCGTGTTGTGTGTGTGTTGTGTGTGTGTTGTGTGTTGTGGTGTGTGTGTGCTCGTGTTGTTTGTGTTGTGTTGGTGTTGTGTGTGTGTTGTGTGTGTGTTGTGTCTCGTGTTGTGTGTGTGTGTTGTGTGTGTGTTGTTGTGTGTGTGTTGTGTCTCGTGTTGTGTGTGTGTGTGTGTCGTGTTTGTGGTGTGTGTTGTGTGTGTGTTGGTGTCGCGTTTGTGGTGTGTGTTGTGTTGTGTGTGTGTTGGGTGTGTGTTGTGTGTGTGTTGTGTCTCGTGTTGTGTGTCGTGTTGTGTGTGTGTGTGTCTCGTGTTGTGTGTGTGTTGTGTGTGGTGTTGTGTGTGTTGTGTGTGTGTGTGTTGTGTCTCGTGTTGTGTGTGTGTTGTGTGTGTGTGTTGTGTGGGTGGTGTTGTGTGTGTGTTGTGTCTCGGGTTGTGTGTGGTGGTGTGTTGTGTTGTGTGTTGTGTTGTGTGTGTTGTTTGTGTGTGTTGTGTGTGTTTTGTCTCGTGGTGTTGTGGTGTGTGTCTCGTGTTGTGTGTGTGTTGTGTGTGTGTTGTGTCTCGTGTTGTTGTGTGTTGTGTGTGTGTTGTGTGGTTGTGTGTGTTGTGTTGTGTGTCTCGTGTTTGTGTGTGTTGTGTGTGTGTTTGTGTGTTGTGTGTGTTGTCTCGTGTTGTGTGTGTGTTGTGTGTGTGTTGTGTGTGTGTTGTGTCTCGTGTTGTATGTGTGTTGTGTCTCGTGTTGTGTGTGTGTTGTGTGTGTGTTGTTGTGTGTGTTGTTGTGTGTTGTGTCTCGTGTTGTGTGTGTGTGTGTGTGTGTTGTGTCTCGTGTTGTGTCTCGTGTTGTGTGTGTGTTGTGTCTCGTGTTGTGTGTGTGTTGTGTGTGTGTTGTGTGTGTGTGTGTTGTGTGTATTGTGTGTGTGTTGTGTGTGTGTTGTGTGTGGGGTTGTGTGTTGTGTCAGCATTGACTCAC